ACTGGAGGCTCGGGGGACTTTTCCGCAGTGACTTTTTCGTCCTGTGTTTGCAGAAAAGGGCGGGAAGACACAGAACCGAGCGACTAAGTGTAAGGACCCCTCCTTGCGCCGGGCGTCTGTGGCTCCTGTCCAACTATCTGCCCAGGGTGGGCTCTGTCCCAGAATCCGAGGGCTGCCCCAGAGGGGAGGCAGGGCGTGGCCGGGGCCAGAGACAGTGAGTTTCCCGGAGAAATGCCGTCTTGCAAGTGGTCTTTACTGCCCACATCACCAGGAGCCAGTTGGGAGCGTTGGAATGGGGCTGAGCCTTCCCGGAGAGGAGGGTGCGGTGGTCGGGTGGGCTGGGCCGAGTCAAGCCCTCTCCCACTCTCTGCTCCCTCTCCCACTCTCTGCTCCCTCTCCCAGCCTCGCGTCCTTTATTTGACTGGAGGGACCCGCTGGTGCTGGAGGAGCAGCTGACAGCGGATGAGATCCTCATCAGGGACACCTTCCGCACCTATTGCCAGGAGCGCCTCATGCCCCGAATCCTGCTGGCCAATCGCAACGAAGGTGCTGAGGTGTGCGGGTGGGCACCCTCCCCTGTGCACACCAGCTCTGCCTGCTTTAGCAGGGCCCCGGGCCCCCTCTGTCCCTGGGATGGGAGCTCCAGTGGGCTAGGGTTGGGCCTGAGTTTGAGCATCTGTGTTTTGCAGTTTTTCATCGAGAGATCATCTCAGAAATGGGGGAGCTTGGTGTGCTGGGGCCCACCATCAAAGGTAGGGACAGATTTATTTCCACACTCTGCAGCCCCCTCTGTGCCCTGGAAAGCCCCTTCTTATTCCTGAGCCTGAGTTTCCTAGTCTGCAAATCGAGGCTGTTATTCCTCCATCTGAAAGTGGCTGTGAGGAAAAATGAATAAACCTTCAAACTAGGACCAGCTTGGTGCCCCCTCCTGGGGCGCCTCTATATAGTTCTGTCTCTTGGGCCCCAGGAATCACACTGGTCCCAGCTGGGCGGGACTTTTGTCTCCCATTGCCCTGTCTTCCTTCCCCCTCCCCTCCACCAGGGTATGGCTGTGCCGGAGTGTCATCTGTGGCCTATGGGCTCCTGGCCCGAGAGCTGGAGCGGGTGGATAGTGGCTACAGGTCAGCAATGAGTGTCCAGTCTTCCCTTGTCATGCACCCCATCTACGCCTACGGCAGCAAGGAGCAGCAGGAGAAGTACCTGCCCCGGCTGGGTGAGCAGTTGCCTGTAGAGCCTGGTGGAAGGAAGACCATCTCAGTGGTCTGGAACTTAGGAGTGGGACTGTCCCCAGAGCCTGCCTTCTATCCCTACCTCAAGGATAGCTCCAATGGCTACCCAGATCCCCTGCCAGACTGTGGGCCTCACCCCTACATTTAATCCTGAATATTTCCTCCTGGGTCTCTATTCACTCTGCCCACTTACCACCATCATCTCCCTCCTGATTCGCTGTGTGTCCCCATCCCAGCCCAAAGTTTAAAGTCTTAATTTCCTGGCTGGGTCCACCAGGCCCCTCATGAATAGGCAGGCCTCTGCTGACCATGCCGCCTCATCTCTGGCCGTTCGACTGCTTCTCCTCAGCCAGACTCAGCTGGCATTCTCCACGTGTACCACTGGGCCTTTGCATATCTGTACCCTCAGTGGAACCGCTCCTCTCCACCCTTCCTCCTCCTGCTTAACTCCTTTTCACTGCCTTCAAGACAGGTTCGTTCTTTCCTGGCTCCTGTGGGGCCCCTCCCTCCTGATCATGGCGTTGTTACTGTGGCCTGGGGGGATGGGAGGCTATCCCCACACACTGACACCACTTGAGAGTGCCATGGGGGCAGAGTTGGGTCTCCCTTTGGCCTGGCTTGATGGGGAGGCTGACAATTTTCATTAGAGGAGTTGAGTGGGGGACAGGCAGACTTGTGACCCTATCTTGTCCCTGCAGCCAAGGGGGAGCTCCTGGGCTGCTTTGGACTCACAGAGCCCAACCATGGGAGTGACCCTGGCAGCATGGAGACCAGAGCCCGCCACAACCCATCCAACAGGAGCTACACCCTCAGTGGGACCAAGACCTGGTGAGGGGCCTGGGTGTCTCAGGCAGGTGGGCAGGGGCAGGAAGGAGGTGGCCAGACCCTCACTGCCTATCCCTCCCCCAGGATCACCAATTCACCTGTGGCCGACCTGTTTGTAGTATGGGCTCGGTGTGAAGACAGCTGCATTCGGGGCTTCCTCCTGGAGAAGGGGATGCGGGGCCTCTCAGCCCCCAAGATTGAGGGCAAGTTCTCCCTGCGGGCCTCGTCCACGGGCATGATCGTCATGGACAGTGTGGAGGTGCCAGAGGAGAATGTGCTGCCTGATGTATCTGGTCTGGCGGTGAGCAGCGGCCACCTTGGGAACTGGTATTAGGTCACCTGCTGGTGCAGCTTCCTTGGGCAGGACCCATGCTGGGGACCCAGCTGGGGACCAGACACAGTCCCTGTGCTTGAGGAGCCCACACACGAGTGATTCTGAGAGCTTCTGCCTGGCTCACTGATGTTTGGAAATTGCCCTTTTGGGGTGACCATTTCGCTTATACTGGCTCTGCCAAGGACACGTACGGGCCTGAACCAGTTTAATCCTTTGATACGTGTGCTTTTTCTGTCTCCTTCCATCATCCCCTAGATCTGAGCATCTGAGACGCAGGTCCTGGGCTGGGTAGAACTGTGTGTGTGTGACCTTTGGTGCTGGGACTGTGTGTGATTGAAATGGCCGCCCTGAATGCCTCTGTTTACCGTGACTGCACATCTGGGGAGGGGGCTTCGCCCTACGTAAGTTAGTTCTGCCTGGGGCCTCGGAGCTCCTGGGTGGGGCTGAGGCCTCTCTCTCAACCCCACAGGGGCCCTTCGGCTGCCTGAACAATGCCCGGTTTGGCATCGCCTGGGGCGTGCTCGGAGCCGCCGAATTCTGTTTGCACACAGCCCGGCAGTACAGCCTGGACAGGTGTGTGGGGCTGCCATGGGATCTCCTGGGGGGCTTGACGGGGGGCACGGGCTCCATCCCTTACCCTACCAGTGACTCCTCATCTCCTGCCTATCAGACTTAAGTTCCCCACTGGGTGAAATGGTCTGGGAAGTCCTTCTGAGCAGTGAGGGGCCGACTGCTCAGTGACAGGGCCAAGGTGAACTCAGGGCCGAGGCAGCCTGGGAAGGCTTCCTGGACTGGGGAGTGAGCATACCCACACTTAACCCTGAACTTCCCCGCTTAGGATCCAGTTTGGCGTCCCCCTGGCCAGGAACCAGCTGATTCAGAAGAAGCTGGCAGACATGCTTACTGAGATCGCGCTGGGCCTTCACGCCGGCCTGCAGCTTGGCCGCTTGAAGGATCAAGACAAGTAGGGGCTTTGTGTTGGGGGAGCAGGGGGTAGGCAGGAAGGAGAGGACCCTGTGCCCCTGCTGGACGTGGTGGTGGCTGGAACTGGGGAGAAAGGTCTTTCCTCCCTCGTGGCCCCTGGGGACCTGTCCCTTCTCTCCCTCTTGGCCTTAATAGGACAGGACTGCCTGCCTGTCCCTTACTGCAAGCTCAGTGTCTGCTGCTGTGACTAGAACTTGGGGAATCTTCTCCCCTGGCTGGGTTGGCCCAGGGCTTAGGGACTTCTGGGATCAGTTCTTTGTGATCCCAGACTTGTGACATGTCTGGACCATTCCCAGGGCCACTCCGGAAATGGTCTCCCTGCTGAAGAGGAATAACTGTGGGAAGGCTCTGGATATCGCCCGCCAGGCCCGAGACATACTAGGGGGGAATGGGATTTCTGATGAGTATCACGTCATCCGCCATGCCATGAACCTGGAGGCCGTGAACACCTATGAAGGTAGGTGCTGGGTCTCGGGGTGGGGTGGTGAGTGTCCCAGGGGCCTCACTGTCTAGAGGAGAAGGGTGGGGACAGCAGGCCTGAGTCCTCCTCCCAGCTGTCATCACTAGCAGTGTGACCTGGGGCAAGTTCCATTGTGTTCTTCATCTGGAGCGGCTCACACAGGGACTGTGGCAGTGACCTGCTCTCGGCCCTTTCTCCCATGGTGCTGCCCAGGACTTTGCAACCTCCTCGGGCACCCCCAGCACAGGGCACGGTGCCTGGTGAGCTGGTGGGTGCCCGGGAGCAAACGTGCAGCTACACACAGGAATCACCACCCCACTTTACGTTAAGAGAAAAAAGACAAATCACAGGCTGGGGTGTCTGCACTTGGTGACTGGTTGTTAACGTGCATGGGGCCCAAAATCCCTTTCCTCATGGGAAAACTGACATGGAAAAAGATAATTTAAAACTTAAAAAAAAAGGAAAAAATAGTACCATCTCGTATGAGCCAGGCAGAAATAGGGAAATGTAAAGGGGCACAAGTGCTCATCTGGGGGAGAAAGTGGGACCACGTTAGGCCTGAAAGGAAGCGTAGCTCCTTGGGACAGCAAAACAGCTTCCAGGTGCTATTCTGGATGGGACATTCCATAAACAGCAAGACGGAGGGTTGGGGGGATACTACCGGTGTGGGGATGACCCTGAGGACAAGCAGAGGGGGGCCTTCAGGGAGTTTTACGCAGGGGAAGGATGGGGTCAGATTGGCACTTGGGAAGGAAACATAATTATTTTGCTCCATGAAAGGGAGGCGGTATCTCTTCACCCATTCAAACTGAGAAAGAGCAAAGGAGAGCACTGAGGGCTCTGACATGTTACCCAGCCCGGAGAGAGGGGAATATGGGATACGGCACGGTGGCTTTAGGATGGCGGAGATCAGCTGGGACAAGCAGTTTATCTGATTTTTGCTTTCCCATCTCTTCTGTGGATAAGAAAGGGCCTGACCTATCCCACAGGGAAAGAAGCATGAATGGGTTGAAAATCAAACATTTAACCAACTGTGCAGGGTTGGGTGGGATGAATCTGCCAAGTGTGGGGAGTCCCAAAGCTGGGCCCACGGCCAGGGCTGGACTTGAAGTTCTGGGTCTAGCACAAGGACCCTTGTTGGGTTGTTTGTTTAAATTTTTTTTTTTATTTTTGCCAAGATGCATTACAGAACTGTGAAAAAAATTTTTTCAGCATGGCGCCAGTGGTGGCCTCAGCCTTCTCTTGGTGGCTGTCACTAAGAGGGGACGCTCCCAGTAGCTCTCAGAATTCGCCATCTTTGTGGGCCTGTTCTTCCGAAGTAGTAGCCTAGGGGGAGAGGGGACATGAAGACTGACGTTAAAGCGAGGTTGTGAGCTGTTCGGACTCCACACCGACTCTGTATTTATCTTGTCCAGGCACTCACGACATTCACGCTCTGATCCTTGGAAGGGCGATCACAGGGATCCAGGCGTTCACGGCCAGCAAGTGAACATACTTCACCCGGGAGCCCAGATGGTCTCAAGCTCCTTCCCAGGGAAGTGCTGTGCTCTGAGCTTGCTCAGGGAGGTGGCAGATGGAGCCAATTTTTATAGTGGGAAGTGAGAGACACTGATTCTTAATTATCAAAATTTTCCCTTTGAAGTCATTCAAATGTGTTCCTTAAAAAGAAGATGGGACTCTCTGTACCAAGTTTCTCAACCCACTTTTAACCATGGACAGGAATGGATTCCACTTATCTTGGAACAGAAGCTTCTCTTGACGGGAGCCGGAAGAGGGAAGAAGAGTGGCATGGAGGCAGCCTCTGGTGTCTGACTGAGCAAATGCCCCACACACCGGGAGTTCACTGTGTGCCCTCCAACCCTCCCATCTTGTGGGTGAATGCCTAATGCTGGATGTTGGAGCAGAAAGAGTAAAAGACTAATAAAGTCGGCATGTGTGACCCCAAGGTGTTGGGCCATATTTAACTGTAACCACCCAAGAAGTCATTTCAGTCATGGGAAAAGTGTGGGGACTGTGAGGTGTTTGACATGCAGGGATTTCCCCCTCAAGTGGTGTGGCCCGTGTCCGAGTTTTGGGCTTTGCTGTAATAACCCTGGTTAGGCACTGACCCGGGCTCAGGACTGTAGACAGAGGGGCTGCTGTCCTTTCTGTCACCACAGAGCTGACCATACAGTGGTGGCAAGTAACAACCGTCTAGCTTCTCAGCTCAGACATACCACCTCAGGGAGCCTGGGGCCATGGGGGAGGGGGCCAGAACATCAGGGGTTTTGCTGGGATAGTGGTCCCTGTGTGGTTTGGGGCTGGGCTTGGTGCTAACGTCCTTGGTTTGTGTTGACATTTACTTCATCTTAGCCTTCCTCGGCGGCGCCCACAGACATGCCATTAGTCATACCTCAGGCTGGACGCACAGGTCTTTGTACACTGTCTCCACGGTGTGGCACACTTGTTTGAGCTCTGTTTCCAAATGGCTGATCTTTGCCATTTTCTGGGTGAACTCTTGGAGCTTGTCCTGAATGATCTTGTTGTGGTGATTATAAATCTGATACATCCTCTCCTCGAGCTTCTCTGTCAGGTCTGAAACCTTTTTAAAAAATAAAGCATGTTTTTAGAAAATCAAACAAGAGGCATCACAAGATGTTTGTTTTTAAGCGTCTCGCTAAGATTTCTGCAATTTATCTTATAAAAATGGTAACAACAATTCTAGTGACTGGAAGTGAAATTGCCTGTATATTTAAATTTTTTTAAAGGAAGATGCAAAATTATGTATATAGTACAGGCTCAGACAGGTTAGGAAGAAAATATGCAGTGGAAACTGGAAGAAAACATGCGACAAAGTAGTGTCTGCTTAGTGAGATCATAGGAATGTTTTCTATTTTTTCTGTTATGTTATACTCTTCTCTACCTTCTAAGTTTTCTCTGATGTATCAGGGCGTGTACTGGTAGGGATGGGAGGAGGGAGAAGGGAAAAAGTCAGCCTATCTTTGAGAGATGCATGACATGTGTCCCCTATGTGACCCACAAGCTGTCCCATTCAACAGAACTCATGATGCATTCTGAAGAAGCTTCTGGGACAATCATGAATGTTGGACCTGAACATAACATCAGGCTTTGTTAGACACTTTAAGGCCCAGCCATGTCAAGGGAACCCTACCCTCCCATCACAAACCATTCCATTCTTTTTTTGTGGGGGGAAGATTTGTAAGTAATTACTACACCCCATGTGAGGCTCAAACTCACAACCCTGAGATCAAGAGTTGCATGCCAGCCAGGCACCCCACAAACCATTCAACTTCTGGAGGACAAATGTGTGTGACAAAGAAGGCTATGCCTCAGCCCCTACTCCCATGGCCATCAGCCCTGGCATGAAATAAGAGGGGTGGACTGTGGGGGCAGATGGGCCTTTGTTCCTCATCCTGGCTCTTTCATTTGGGCAAAGTATGTCCAAACCTTACTTTACCATCTATAAAACAGGTCTGAGCTCTTGGCAGGACTGTTGTAGGAGGAAGTGAGGTACTATCTGCAGCTTGCTTAGCATCAGGCCTAGAACCTCAAAGACACTCCGTGGCAGCTGCTCATCCCCTCCCCTTTCACCCTTTACAGAGGACGCCTTCCCCCTGCCCACCGGGGCTTTGCGGTGTGTGGGAGAATCTCTCACCTTGATCTTGAGGCTGTCCCTGAAGTTGGTCATGAGTGCGTGGTCCTTCTGTCTGCTCTCGTTGATGTTTTCAATCAGCTCCTGGGCCCTCTTCTTCAGGATGTCGATGCTTGAGTCCAGAGAAGAAAAGTAGGATCCTGACTTCCCTTCTAGCATCATCAGCTGGCGGTTGGCACTGGAGGTGGCGATAGAGGGGCTAGAAACCTGACTTCTGTAAGTACAGGAAACGGAGGTCAACACTAAATTCTCTCCAGAGCGCTGATGTCAACTGGCTCTGTGCTGGGGGGGGAACCAGGGTCTGTGTCTCCTGTGGGTGACGCTCGCTTATTCACCCACACACCGCCCTGTGAGGCAGGGACAGCATCTCCATTTTAGAACTAAGGAAATAGATCCAGAGGGGCAAACAAAACCCACCGAAAGTTCCAGAATGGGGATCTCCTGGGCTTCAGAGCCCACTGTCATGTTATTACACCAACTTGTTGCTTTGAAATGAGTGTCATTTCTACGATAGTATATCAACAACTGTAGATTGGGGCAAAGCTTGTAAACATTTAGAAGGATTCTGCATATAGATTGCTTTGTCAAGACCTACGGCTTTGCACTCTGGTTTAAAAACAAAGAACTGGAGGAGTGCTTGGTTGGCTCAGTCAGTGGAACATGCAACTCTTGATCTTGGGGTCCTGAGTTCAAGCCCCACGTTAGGTGTAGAACCTACTTTAAATAAATATTTAAAAATGAAGTGGAAATTGTGGGTAATGCATTAAGAATGAAGTTTATGCAAAAAAAAAAGTTGCCATCTGATTAGCAGACCCCTTGGTGTTCTAAATTAAGATTAAAATGTTTACCGTGGGGCTCCTTCCTTCTCTCCCTCCCTCCCTTCCTTCCTCTTTTTTTTTTTGTTTTTGTTTTTTTTTTGTTCTGTATCTCTGCTTTATCTGATCTGTAAGCACTTTCCGTCAGGCGCCCTCCTAACTGCACACCTTGTCTTGCTCCATCCTCTTGACCATGCTTTGGGGTTGGCCCACCTATGGTCTTTACCTGCCTCCTAACTGAGGACGCAGAGTCAATGTGTCACTTGCCCAGGGTCACCGGCCAATGTGTGGTAGAGATGGGTGTGGCACCCAGCTGGCCTGACTCCCCAGCCCATGTCCTGCTGCCCCAGCGTCCTCTGTTTCTTTGCCATCTGAGGTCCTTCCAGCTCTTAATGGCTGACTCAGAGGTGCCAACAGAGCAGTTCCTGAATACACCAGTTCACAAGCAGCCATAGAGTTGGCCAAGACCACAAGCCAGGCACTGATTACTTAGAAAATTACATCTTGATTTTTGGATGCTTTCTCCATAAAACTCTTTTTCTTGGTGGTTTTCTGATTGCCTAAGCTCTTCCTTTTGGCACAGGACAGAAACGCAGTGAAACCCCTGAGCACAAGAGCCTGGGTGGCCGGAGTTCTTGCCTGCATGAAAGCTCTCAGGCCCTAGACCTCAGCTGTGTCCTGGTCCTCAAGTACTCCTTGCCAGATGGCTTCTTACCTCTGTGGCTTTACCTCTGTGGCTTTCTTGCTCTCTGACTTGACCTGTGAGACCTAGCCCACACCAATGCCTCCTTTGATAAACTGTCTATGACCCTGTGCCTGTCTCTATCACTGCATGTGCTTGTCACAGCTTCCATTCCTGTCTCCCCAGAAGGCTGTGTCCTATTTATCTCTGAATTCCCAGGACTCACCACTTAGTAAATCTTCATTGTTTGTTGAATGAATGAAGGATGCCTTCCGTCTGTCTGATATATTCTGCCCTCCTCTGGCCTCATATAAAGCATGCAAGTTCATCAGCCTCCAAGGCGAGACGTGTGTGTGGTCAGTGCATTTATCAAAATGGGAAAGTGTGTCTCTGAGGCAGATAAACTATAGCAGAGACTTATGTCAGCTAGAAAATAAACGAACTAAAGCATTCCTGAGCATTCTTGTAAAAAGACATTGTACTGCAGGAAAAAGGTTCACTAAGGAGTTTATGGCCTCCTAGCTTGCGATTACTGCTTTCCTGCGGGGAAGTGAGCCAGAAGGAGATTAATTCAGACCTGGGACACACATTTTATTTTTTTCCTTTTTTTATGATTTTATTTTTAAGTAATCTCTACACCTGAAGTGGGGCTCAAACTCACAACCCCAAGACCAAGAGTCCCATGCTCTTCTGACTGAGCCAGCCAGACCCCCCAACTCCAGACACCGACAGTTCAACATTCAGACTTTTATAACATTTGGATGCTTGTGAAAAAAAAAAGTGGACGGCTCTTAAAAAGACAGCCATGTTTTGCATGATGATGACGGAATGAATTGTGAATATGGGTTCCAGAAAGCCTGGTGTTTGACTTCTTTGAGACCTCAAGCACTGACTGCCCTCCTGTTCAGCCTAAACCAGGGGCTCTATCACTACAGTCTTCATCTGGGGTTCTCAGACCCTCTTCCCTTCACCCCTGTGTCACACCCACACCAAAACCCCACCCTGGCTGTCCATAACCAAGCGGTTGTATCTTTTTTTAGACTTAGGAACTTGAATGACACTGGAGGAAATAAGGATCCTGTGAACAAGGTCACTGCAGAGTCTAGCTCTCTAGTTTCTGGGGGGTCCTCAAGGTCACTGGGCACCCTGTCTGTGCTCTTGTCACCTCCCTCTCTCATTCTTACCAGCCATTCCAAACCTTCATAACTCTCCTGTCCCTGGCCGAATACTTGCTTCCCCTCACCCTGAGCAAATACACACACAGTGTATTCACAAACAGGCCAGTAACTTCCTCCACTGCCCACCCCCCTCCATAAATGGATCCACAGCCACCATTCCTCTTTCCAGATTCCCCACATGGCAGGCAGGAGAAGAGTTCCATGCCTCTTCGGGCCTCCCAATCCCCCTCCCCTCTGTACCTCACCCTCTTCTTGTACCTTTGACCTCTCCCTTGGGCTGACCTATTCCGGGACATGTCATCCCCAGTTTCACATCTTAAAACAGCACACATATACGCACCCCTCCCCTCCAACACCAGGTAGCCCTCAGCCAGCCACCTCCTCCTCCTTCCCTTCACAGCCATGTAGCTCATCTAGAAAGAGCTGCTGACACTTTCTGAGTGCGTTTTCTCACCTCTCTCTTCTCGGCCCACTGGTTCCCGCCCCAGTTCTCAAATGAAGCGTTTCCTGCCAAGGTCCCCTGTCGCACCTGGCAGATACCTCAGGCCATAATTCCCTTGACCTACTGGCTGCAGCTGGTGCTACTGACCACCCTTCCCTGCCATTCCCGACACATCACGTCCCCAGACTCTGTTGCTGGCCTCACTCTCTTCACACCATTGTTCTCACCATTGTTCACACACTTGCTCTGAAGCCAGGACCCCCAACCTTCCTCCCTGCTGGTCTTTCCTGCTAATCCCCACCCACCACCTCACAATGTACAACCTGTCATTCCCCAAAGGCACCCTTGTAGCCAGTCCTTTTCCCTGCCTATATCCTGCCTCTTCTAGAAAGTCTTCCCTGGCTGAGTTACATGCACACAGCACCCACAGCGTCAGGGCCTGCCCCTGAGCTTCCCCTGTCGTCTCTGGGAGGACTGAGCCATGTGTCACTCATCTTCATGTCCATAATACCTACGTCTCATGATAGGAGTAATAAAGAGGCATGGAATAAATGAATGAAATGACTAGAGAGGGCTTTCATTACCATCCACCTTCTACAACCCCCAAGTTCATCCTCTGCTCACACCTGTCTCCTGAGCTCCCAACAGTGTATTGGACTACCTCCAGACCCTCTCCACTCGGCTGTCCCGGAGGCATCTCAGACTCCCAAATTTGCACACCAACATCACCATTCTCCTTCCCCTTATGACCCTCTCCACTCGGCTGTCCCGGAGGCATCTCAGACTCCCAAATTTGCACACCAACATCACCATTCTCCTTCCCCTTATGAATGACACCAAAAGTCACCTGGTTCCCATGCCAGAAACGTGAAAGTCAGCCTAGAGTCCAGCTTCTCTCTGTCCTCCACATCCTGTCAGAAAATCCTCCCTTCCACCCCCTTAATCTCTCCCAAACCTATCATCTCCCCTCTACCTAATCATTTGGAACTCCACACCTATCATTTCTCACCTGGTCTTTAGGGACTTTCGAAACTGCAATCTGATGGCTTACTCCTGCTTGACGGTCGGAGAGCCCCCACGTGCTACAGGATCAAGTAAATTCCCTCGCACAGCACACAAGGCCTTCCAGGGCCCAGGCTGCCACCTTCCCTCGCCACCCTCCACTCCGAGCAATTTGGAACATTCCACAACTTCACCAAACCCACCGGCCTTTGCCTGAAATGACTTTTCCTTCCTACAATTTCACCATTCAGAGTTTCTGCTAGTGCACCCCCTCAGCACCTCCGCTTACTAATCGCAGCACTGCCACGGTTTACACACATTGGTTCCTTCCAGGACACCGCGCACACTGAGGGAGGGGACAGCATTCTATAGAACCCAAAGGCGGCACAAATAGTTACTGAATACGTAAAGGAATGAACTTCTTCCAGAGCCCTATGTAACATTCCCGCTCACAAACCTCCTTGCCCACGGTCACCGTGTCCCGACAGTGCAAGGTTCTGAAATTAAAATTGTAAGGGCCTGCCCCTCCCATAGGAACCAAAAATAAATTATAAAAACAGGTGCTTCTTTTTTACACAATTGCTCACAACTGGCTTGCGCTGCTAGCAGTTCAAAGTCACTCCTTTATCAGGCTCCAGGGATGAGGATGGAATGGTTTCCGTGGCAGCTATGCAAATGGTGAAAAATCACTTGAATTCGTCTCATTCAAATTTTGTTGTGGGACAAAGGCCTGCATCGCATGTCTGCAGAGAGCTTCTTGATTTTTTCCAACCTCTCCTTTGGGGATTTATTTCTTTCCATTTCATTTTTCTTAATACTCAGCAGCTGCATATTCATCAGGATGCTAATGAATCATAGGCTTCCCTGGGCCTGCATTCACCAATTAACTTTAATAAACAAAATGCACGATGTCCTCTTCACTGGTTTCCCCCATTCCCAGGCCTGCTTCTGTTGCCCAACCCTGGATGGAGGCCAGCGAATGGAAGTAGGCCCAACAAAGCAGGTTGGGTGTGCATGGCCCCACGGAGGGGTCAGGTAAGGGGGACTTGGGGTGGGGGCTGTGAACACTTCACCACGCTCATCTATTATGGTCTG